TGAATAATATTTAGTATTTTTCTGTTTTTCTCTTAGAGTACACAAAAAAAAAAAAAAAAAAAAAAAAACTTTACTCTTGTTTTATTTTCTTTTTGCCGATTTTTATTAGAAAAAGGGAACGAAAAGAAGCACGGCAAGGACTGGAGCATCCTGAAGGAGGGTAATAGTTACTAACTTTTTCCCTCGAATTTATTGATTTTTATGCATGGTAGAAGATCCTTGCATCAAAGGCTAGAAAATCCTTTCATTATTTCATTCAAAAATAAAAATCCGAAAGAAAAATTAATTTTGATGGATCCTGAAGGAAGTACAGGTCAAACTGAGAACAATCCTATGGCCATGAAAAATCATTATATCCCTGATTCATTTCAAAGAGCATCTAATATTAGAGTCCCATTAGCACCCACTGTTAAATTCGAAATAAATCCAAGAATTTTTCAAATGCTCCCTAATTTTCATGGATTGCCTTTAGAGGAACCTCATCAGCACTTAGAAAAATTTCATATGGTCTGTGATTTAGTTAATCTCCCTCAAGTTACACCGGAAATTATTAAGATGAAATTATTCCCTCATACACTTAGGGACAAAGCTAGTCATTGGCTATCCACATTGGATAGAGAATTAACTAGCTGGAAAGATATAGAACAGGCCTTTCTTCGAAAATTTTATCCCTTAGGAAAAACTCAAAATATGAGAAAACATATATGGAGTTTTTCTCAAAGACCAGGAGAAACTTTGCATGAGACATGGGAAAAATTCAAAGATTTACTTAGAAAGTGTCCTCATCATGCTATACCCAAGTGGCAGCTCAATAGAATTTTTTATGATGGATTATTAGAACAACATAGAAATATGGTTGATTCTATATGTGGAGGAGCTTTTATGGAGAAAACTCCTGATGAGATTTACAGTCTTTATGAGAATTTAAGTGAAAATTCTAGAGATCAAGCCTCTTTTGAATTATATGACAAGGAAATGAAGAGAGAAATTTATGAATTGCATCATGATGATGATTCTAAACTTAGAAATGAGGTTAATCAGATTAATCAAAGATTAGAAAAAATTGATTTACTTATTGATAATATTAGAAAGCCTTTTAACCCTCAACTTAATTCGAATAGTACATGTCCTATGTATGGTGAAAATGATTATTCTGAACTTCAATGTTATAATTTAGATCAATCATTTCACCCTATGCGAGAACAAGTGCAAGTAGCTCACGGTTTTAATAGAAATAGGGAAAATTTTTCAAATTCTTATAATCCTAATTGGAGGAATAATTTTTCATGGAGAGACCCAAATAATATTCAAAATCCAGAAGCACTTAGACCCAATTCAAACTCTGAATTTCGTCCAAAACAAGAAAATAGATTTCAGAAAAATCAGCCCTCTCAAACCCAACCTGATGCTATGGAAATGATGCAGCAAATGAGCCAAATGATGCAACAAACTATGAATCAAATGATGCAACAAATGATGCAGCACCAGAAACAAATTATAGAGGCTCTTGAGAATAAGAGAGAAGAGGGACAGCTACCTAGTCAGCCCATAGAAAATTCAGAAAACTGTCCAACAGTAAGATTTCAGCAAGAAGAGTCTAGCTGGATAAATTTAGAAAAAAACCCACGAAATGAAAATGTTAGGACAGTGAATATATTGAGTGAGAATATTTTACCTGATCCTTATTTCCAATTATTAGAAGAAATTGATGATCCATTAGAAGTAAATGAGAATATTAAGGCCAAAAATGTAGTAGCAGAAAATTTGAATAAAATTATTTATTGCTCACAATTGATGAATGAATATAGTGAGGATGATGAGGAGAAAGAACCCTTAGATGAAGAAACAGCAATTGATCATAGAAAAATCATCCAAATTTTAGTAGAAGGGAGTACGGACAGAAATGAAGAAAAATATATTTCAGGTGAGGAAAAATCAATTGATTTGGGAGATGTAGGAGACGAAATTAATGAATCTAATCATAATTTTGCAGCCATGGATGTTGATTGTGAGGATGATGATGTATATCATATACCAAAATTTAAAGATAGCTTTTGGGAAGATGAAGAATTTGATGAGTTGAGAAACGAAAAGCTAGAAAAAGAATTGATTGAACTAATGGGAACAAGCGAAAATAATAGATATGAATATAGAGATAATTTTGGAGGAGAAAATTTGAATTTTACTGAATTCATTAGATCTGAGATTAAAGAAGACAATCCTTCCATCTTTCAAAGCCCACAGCCCATTAGAATTATTTCTAAGCTTGAAATATTTCACTCCTCGCAAATTGAACAAATATGTATGGAAGATAAAATGGAGCAGGGGAAGATTATGCAGATAAAAGAAGACATTAAGAAATGGGTGAGTGGAAGAATTAGAGATACCAATTTAGATGAAAAAGTTCTAGATTGGGCAAGAGCTAATCTGAAAATTATATGGCCTGATCATATTTTATGGTTTATTAATAGAAAGTATTTATTAATGAATGAGAGCCTAACAAAAAAAGATAGAAATAAGGAAAGATTCTTTTCAAAATGGAAATATTATTTTTGGGAAAATTTTGTTAATTTCCATTTTGTTTTGGCTGAAAGTATGTCAAGGTATATATATGAAGTATATGAATTTATGCTAAATCTGAAAAAGAATATCATAAAACTTACCTTGGGATACAAATATATTTTGATGGCCATAGATCAGCTTATATGATATAAGAGCTGTCCAGCTGGAGACATTAAATTCAGACGCTGCATGGGAGGCAACCCATGGTTTTTATTTCATTCTGTTTGATTTTTTTTTAAGCTCTGTTTTTCTTAGAATTTCGCAGTACTTGTTTCTGTATTTGTTTTTCTTTCGAAAAAGTGCAGGAGTGTAAGATGAAGTGGAAAATTAAAAACGAGGTTGAGGTGATGTCTTTCTGAGCTTCATCATTTATGAAAATATTTTTAATGCTTAACTTTGCAGATATGCATGCTTCACTTGAAAATTATATTTTCTGCATATTCTGTTTCGAGTTTTCTGTGTCATTGAGGACAATGTCATTTTTCAGTTGGGGGGTGAAGTATTCATTATTAATTTATGCTGTAGGACGATTAAGAACATGTGTTTGCATTTTATTCAACTTAGAACAGCAACTAAAAAAATAAAACTAAAATAAAATTCGGAAAAACTGCAACATCTATTTTCTGGTTTTCTGTCAGTAACAACAGACTGTCAAAAATAGCAGACAAAAAAAACAACCCGAAATTTGAAATTATAGAGACCCTTTTCTCACATTTCAATCCCCTAGATATATATTACTGAAATTCGAAATTACAGCTATAAAGAGGATAGTTTTGATTTATTTTTGACAAATTTATTGCTGCTAAAAATAGAACTAAAAATAGAAAACAAAACTGCCAGAACTATCAAATTTACAAATTCCTTACATCATATTGCATGCACGAAAAATTAAATCAATTAGATTGATTGATACGAAAAGATACTAGGAAGATTATTATTGAGTCAAAAGAATGATTTATTAGCATGAAATGTTGGAATACTCCTTGGATACCTGATAGATAACATGGATTTGATTTTACAGATTTTCACTTCATGATCTTGATGGATAATATTTACTTGATGTGAAAATTTGATTGATCATTTGAGTTTAATGGAGATTTTTGCACCCTGATCTATAAAAGTTGTGAGGAGAAATCACTTATTTCGAAAAAAAATAGAGAGAGCAATGTGAAAAATCTAGAAACGAAGAGTACACATGGAGGGTGTGAGACATCATTCTCATTGTCGAAAATCGTGTATAGAAAAACACTTGCTGCAAAATAAGTGGATAAAGTGAAAGCCTTGAAAATAAAGAGTACACATGGAGGGTGTGAGACATTATTCTTATTGTCGAAATTTGTCTACAGGAAAAGCTACTTATCCACTATATATAAAGAAAGAAGAAATATAGTGCAAGCGTCAAAAATCAAGCCATAGAAAAAGGGAAATGTAGGATCAATATTATTCTTGGATGAGTATTGATAATTGGAACATCTTGTAAATACATCTATGAGTGAAGAAGTGATAAAGATGTGAATAGAAGAAGTGAAGTCGAGATTGTTATTCCAAGGAGTGTTTAAACATTTAAGTGCTTGACATCATTCCTAAATACTTGATATAAGAATCCAAAGTGTCTAAAGGTGCATCATTTCTAATTGTATTTTTTTCTTTCTATATTGATGTCTAAAGGTGATATAAGAATCCAAAGTGTCTAAATTTTTATTTTCGTAATTCCATTGCTAAGGGACTAGCAATGATTTAAGTTGGGGGGTGTGATAAGTCTTCATTATCATGAGTTAATAATTAGTAAATAATATAGTTTCAGCCTTAACTCATTATAAATAGACTTATATTTGTGTTAAACTGTGAAAAGTGGTTTTCAGTTGATTAACGTGAATTTTTGGGTAATTATGTGATTTTATACGATTTTTACAGTCTTAGTTTTGAGATAAACGAAGAACAAGAAATAAAAATAAAAATATTGCAAAATGAGAGGATCCGCCGGCCAGCCGGGCCCGCAAGCGGGTCGGAAGCGCAGTCGGGGAGTAGTCGCGAGCAGGGGCTGGAGCGGCTTGCTTGGATCGATAGGGGCACGTGTGCGCACTCCCCTTCCACGTCACCGGTGGTCAGCCGGCTGTGGGGCAAGGAGTGGTCGTACACGCGAGAGGACTTTGCCTACAAAGCTAACTTTACTATATATTTGCCCGAATAATCCGCGTACAACCGATGTGGGACTAAACCTTCAGGGGGGGCGACCGCCGCAGGTTCGAATCCTCCCAGAGTCAAAATTCATATATTTTTAACTGATTATCGCGACTTTCCTGCAGATCGCCGGTGAAGGATTAAGCAACCGGAATCGCTGGATCATCGGCGAAAATCTCGTCAACGCGATTTGCGGAGCATTGCTACTAAAATTTCTGAACGATTCGCGATAAAAGGATCGCAGTCCATTGAGTAAATCATCTCCGATTGATCGACGAACAAGCCGTCGTCGGGAAGAGGACGATCCGCCGGGAGACCAGTCGCCACCTCCTGAGAGCGTACCAGATGCGATGAAGAGCCTCCTCTTGCTGCGCGGACCTGAGGATGAAGCTCCCTAACACGCGCCTCACCTCCATCCAGCCCCTCTCCGTCGGGTGACAGCCGCCGGAGAGCCGCAAAGTCGCCGTTTTTCTGCTCCGCCGGGTGACAGCCGCCGGAGACGATTCGACGACCCACTTCATTGGTCTCTAGACTTCGCGAGAAGATCTAGAGATTACCCACGTCGTCTTTGTCCAAGGAGAGCCTTCGAGGCCGTGGACACTGCACGACGACCCTCCCGGACGCTCAGGATTCCGGTGCATCGCCGACGCGTCGCCGTCGCGACGCCGGAACTCTGTTTTCCTGCTTTATCTAGAGATTGCCCACGTCGTCTTTGTCCAAGGAGAGCCTTCGAGGCCGTGGACACTGCACGACGATCCTCCCAAACGCTCAGGATTCCGGTGCATCGCCGACGCATCGCCGTCGCGACGCCGGAACTCTGTTTTCCTGCTTTCAATTTAATTTACGCTTCATTTAGTGATACTTTGTTGATTTTTATTTACCAAACTATACTTCGTTCAACTACGATTCTTCCGGCTTTTACAGATCTTAATTTGATTAATTGAGTCGTCTGTAATCGCCTACGTAAGAATCGCCGGGCGGAACTGTGTTTCCGCCTGATTCGCGTTCGCCGGGCGCTGACGTCATCCTGACGTCCGCACCCTTATTTCCTCTTTTTTTGTGAATTTTAAATATATTTCCTTTTTATTTCCTAGTATAAAATTCATAAGAAAATCGTACTCATTGAGAAAAATTCTGAATAATTACCAGATATTATATTACATCCCTGTGATCGACCTGGAAAATTACCGCTATTTTTGGAATTTTTATTGAATTATAATTGATATATTTATTTAGAAATACTTCTAAATATCCGAAAATTCGTATTTTCTAGTTTTATAAATTTTATATTTGCGTGATTTAACATACAACGACTGAGTCACGTCAAATTTTGCTTCCCGACGACGGCTTGTTCGTCGATCATCTGCGCTGCTTGGAGGGCGTCAGCCTCCCTCCTCACGGGTCGATCGTCTCACGGGCCCGGCCCGGCTTGGTGATGGAGGGAGAGAGCGGGGGGAGAGAATGAGATCGGATGCGGCGGATGTGACATCGGGTGCGATCATACCAGCACTAATGCACCGGATCCCATCAGAACTCCGAAGTTAAGCGTGCTTGGGCGAGAGTAGTACTAAGATGGGTGACCTCTTGGGAAGTCCTCGTGTTGCACCCCCTTCCCTCCTTTTGCTCGCTTGTTGCTTGTTGCTGCCGCGGAAGTCGCCGACAGACCAACCCCCCTATCCTACTATCCTACTCCCCCTGTGAGCGAGGCGACTTCTTCGTCCGCTCGGCTCTCTACAGCGCGTTGTCGCTACGAAGCTAAGGACAAGCGCAAGCTAACTAACTTTCGGGAGTGTTTCGGGCACGTTTGGGCGCTTAGGAAGGGACTCGGAAGACGGGGGCCGCGCGTTATGGGTGCGGTGCGACCTCCCCCAGCGGCGAGAGCCATCTCGCATCTGCGCTGCTCGGAGGGGCGTCAGCCTCCCTCCTCGTGGGTCGATCGTCTCACGGGCCCGGCCCGGCCCGGCTTGGCGATGGAGGTGGAGTGAGAGAGCGGGGGGAGAGAATGAGACCGGATGCGGCGGATGTGACATCGGGTGCGATCATACTAGCACTAATGCACCGGATCCCATCAGAACTCCGAAGTTAAGTGTGCTTGGGCGAGAGTAGTACTAGGATGGGTGACCTCCTGGGAAGTCCTCGTGTTGCACCCCCTTCCCCCTTTTTGCTTGTTGCTTGTTGCTGCCGCGGAAGTCGCCGACAGACCAACCCCCCTATCCTACTATCCTACTACCCCTGTGAGCGAGGCGACTTCTCCGTCCGCTCGGCTCTCTACAGCGCGTTGTCGCTACGAAGCTAAGGACAAGCGCAAGCTAACTAACTTTCGGGAGTGTTTCGGGCACGTTTGGGCGCTTAGGAAGGGACTCGGAAGACGGGGGCCGCGCGTTATGGGTGCGGTGCGACCTCCCCCAGCGGCGAGAGCCATCTCGCATCTGCGCTGCTCGGAGGGGCGTCAGCCTCCCTCCTCGTGGGTCGATCGTCTCACGGGCCCGGCCCGGCCCGGCTTGGCGATGGAGGTGGAGGGAGAGAGAGAGCGGGGGGAGAGAATGAGACCGGATGCGGCGGATGTGACATCGGGTGCGATCATACCAGCACTAATGCACCGGATCCCATCAGAACTCCGAAGTTAAGCGTGCTTGGGCGAGAGTAGTACTAGGATGGGTGACCTCCTGGGAAGTCCTCGTGTTGCACCCCCTTCCCCCTTTTTGCTTGTTGCTTGTTGCTGCCGCGGAAGTCGCCGACAGACCAACCCCCCTATCCTACTATCCTACTACCCCTGTGAGCGAGGCGACTTCTTCGTCCGCTCGGCTCTCTACAGCGCGTTGTCGCTACGAAGCTAAGGACAAGCGCAAGCTAACTAACTTTCGGGAGTGTTTCGGGCACGTTTGGGCGCTTAGGAAGGGACTCGGAAGACGGGGGCCGCGCGTTATGGGTGCGGTGCGACCTCCCCCAGCGGCGAGAGCCATCTCGCATCTGCGCTGCTCGGAGGGGCGTCAGCCTCCCTCCTCGTGGGTCGATCGTCTCACGGGCCCGGCCCGGCCCGGCTTGGCGATGGAGGTGGAGTGAGAGAGCGGGGGGAGAGAATGAGACCGGATGCGGCGGATGTGACATCGGGTGCGATCATACCAGCACTAATGCACCGGATCCCATCAGAACTCCGAAGTTAAGCGTGCTTGGGCGAGAGTAGTACTAGGATGGGTGACCTCCTGGGAAGTCCTCGTGTTGCACCCCCTTCCCCCTTTTTGCTTGTTGCTTGTTGCTGCCGCGGAAGTCGCCGACAGACCAACCCCCCTATCCTACTATCCTACTACCCCTGTGAGCGAGGCGACTTCTCCGTCCGCTCGGCTCTCTACAGCGCGTTGTCGCTACGAAGCTAAGGACAAGCGCAAGCTAACTAACTTTCGGGAGTGTTTCGGGCACGTTTGGGCGCTTAGGAAGGGACTCGGAAGACGGGGGCCGCGCGTTATGGGTGCGGTGCGACCTCCCCCAGCGGCGAGAGCCATCTCGCATCTGCGCTGCTCGGAGGGGCGTCAGCCTCCCTCCTCGTGGGTCGATCGTCTCACGGGCCCGGCCCGGCCCGGCTTGGCGATGGAGGTGGAGGGAGAGAGCGGGGGGAGAGAATGAGACCGGATGCGGCGGATGTGACATCGGGTGCGATCATACCAGCACTAATGCACCGGATCCCATCAGAACTCCGAAGTTAAGCGTGCTTGGGCGAGAGTAGTACTAGGATGGGTGACCTCCTGGGAAGTCCTCGTGTTGCACCCCCTTCCCCCTTTTTGCTTGTTGCTTGTTGCTGCCGCGGAAGTCGCCGACAGACCAACCCCCCTATCCTACTATCCTACTACCCCTGTGAGCGAGGCGACTTCTTCGTCCGCTCGGCTCTCTACAGCGCGTTGTCGCTACGAAGCTAAGGACAAGCGCAAGCTAACTAACTTTCGGGAGTGTTTCGGGCACGTTTGGGCGCTTAGGAAGGGACTCGGAAGACGGGGGCCGCGCGTTATGGGTGCGGTGCGACCTCCCCCAGCGGCGAGAGCCATCTCGCATCTGCGCTGCTCGGAGGGGCGTCAGCCTCCCTCCTCGTGGGTCGATCGTCTCACGGGCCCGGCCCGGCCCGGCTTGGCGATGGAGGTGGAGGGAGAGAGCGGGGGGAGAGAATGAGACCGGATGCGGCGGATGTGACATCGGGTGCGATCATACCAGCACTAATGCACCGGATCCCATCAGAACTCCGAAGTTAAGCGTGCTTGGGCGAGAGTGGTACTAGGATGGGTGACCTCCTGGGAAGTCCTCGTGTTGCACCCCCTTCCCCCTTTTTGCTTGTTGCTTGTTGCTGCCGCGGAAGTCGCCGACAGACCAACCCCCCTATCCTACTATCCTACTACCCCTGTGAGCGAGGCGACTTCTCCGTCCGCTCGGCTCTCTACAGCGCGTTGTCGCTACGAAGCTAAGGACAAGCGCAAGCTAACTAACTTTCGGGAGTGTTTCGGGCACGTTTGGGCGCTTAGGAAGGGACTCGGAAGACGGGGGCCGCGCGTTATGGGTGCGGTGCGACCTCCCCCAGCGGCGAGAGCCATCTCGCATCTGCGCTGCTCGGAGGGGCGTCAGCCTCCCTCCTCGTGGGTCGATCGTCTCATGGGCCCGGCTTGGCGATGGAGGTGGAGGGAGAGAGCTGGGGGAGAGAATGAGACCGGATGCGGCGGATGTGACATCGGGTGCGATCATACCAGCACTAATGCACCGGATCCCATCAGAACTCCGAAGTTAAGCGTGCTTGGGCGAGAGTAGTACTAGGATGGGTGACCTCCTGGGAAGTCCTCGTGTTGCAACCCCTTCCCCCTTTTTGCTTGTTGCTTGTTGCTTGTTGCTTGTTGCTGCCGCGGAAGTCGTCGACAGACCAACCCCCCTATCCTACTATCCTACTACCCCTGTGAGCGAGGCGACTTCTTCGTCTGCTCGGCTCTATTGCCATTGTCACAGTCTTTTGGCACTGGTGGAACTCTCCTCATGTATCACTATGAAGTTGAGAACAAGTGCAAGCTAACTATGGGTGTCATATGACATCCCCTAGTGGTGAGAGCCATTTGACCTCTCGTAGTGGTGAGAGCTATTTGACATCTGCACTACTTGGAGGGTGTCACCCTCCTCGTGGGTCGATCATGTCACAGACTCAACCATGGAGGGAGATAGCACGGGATTAGAGTATGGGACCAGATGCAGTTGATGAATTCTAATTGGAAGTTAAATACATTGTCGTGATGCAACCAAGTTCATGCAAATAATATTTATAAAACCTCACTCTTCTAGTTAAAATATAGGTCAATTGATAAGTCTTTATTATCATGAGTTAATAATTAGTAAATAATATAGTTTTAGCCTTAACTCATGATAAATAGACTTATATTTGTGTTAAAGTGTGAAAAGTGGTTTTCGATTGATTAACGTAAATTTTTGGGTAATTATGTGATTTTATACAAATTTATATGATTTTTACAATCTTACTTTTGAGATAAATGAAGAAAAAAGAAATAAAAATAAAAATAAAACAAAATGAGGGGGACATGCCGGCCAGCCGGGCCCGCAAGCAGGTCGGAAGTGTAGTCAGGGAGTAGCTATGAGCAAGGGCTCGAGCGGCTTGGACCGATAGGGGCACGTGTGCGCCACTCCCCTTCCACGTCATCGGTGGCCAGCTGACTGTGAAGCAAGGAGTGGTCATACACATGCGAGAAAGAGACTTGATCGGAAATGTAATATTACTATATATTCACCAGATAGTTCGCCGCACAAGCGATGTGGGACTAAACCCGCGTCACACCTTCCCTAGAAAGGGCGGGGCAACCGACGCGGGTTCGAATCCTCCCAAAGCTAAAATTCATATTTTTTTAATCTGATTATCGTGACTTTCTTATAGATCGCCGGTGAAGGATTAAGCAATTAGAATCGCTGGATCATCAGCAAAAATCTCGTCAAAGTGATTCGCGGAGCATTGTTACTAATATTGTTGAATGATTTGCGATAAAAGGATCATGAATCCATCGAGTAAAGCATCTCCGATTGATTGATGAACAAGCCGTCGTCAGGAAGAAGACGATCCGCTAGGAGACAAGTCACCACCTCCTAAGAGCATACCAGATGCGATGAAGGGCCTCCTCTTGCTGCGCGGACCTGAGGATGAAGTTCCCTGACATGCGCCCCGCCTTCATCTAGCTCCTCTTCGTCAGGTGACAGCCGTCGGAGAGCCGCAAAGTCGCTATTTTTCCACTCCGCCGGGTGACAGCCGCTGGAGACGATTCGATGACTCATTTCATTAATCTCTAGACTTCGCAAGGAGATCTAGAGATTGCTCATGTTGTCTTTGTCCAAGGAGAGCCTTCAAGGCCGTGGACACTGCACGACGATCCTCCCGAACGCTCAGGTTTCCAATGCATCGCCGACGCATCGTCGTCACGACGTTGGAACTCTATTTTCCTACTTTCAACTTAATTTTCACTTATGTTAGTGATAATTTGTTGATTTTAAATTTACCAACCTATACTTCATTCAATTATGATTCTTTCAACTTTTACAGATCTTAATTTGATCAATTAAATCATCTGTAATCACTTATGTAAGAATCGCTAGACAGAATTCTGTTTTCGCCCGATTCGCATTCGCAACTCGCTAACATCATCTTGATGTCTGCACCCTTATTTCCCTTTTTCGTGAATTTTAAATATATTTCCTTTTCATTTCCTAGTATAAAATTTATAGAAAATATTCTTTTTTGAGGAAAATTCTGAATAATTACCAAATATTATATTACATCCCTGTGATTGACTTGAAAAATTCCTGCTATTTGTGGAAGTTTTATTGAATTATACTTGATATATTTGTTCAGAAATACTTCTAAATATCCGAAAATTCGTATTTTTTAATTTTATAAATTTTAAATTTACGTGATTTATTATACAACGACTAAGTCACATGATCGATCCTTAGAAAGTGTGGGTAATGAGAGTACGAATTCTACTTATTTTAGTTTCTTATATAGATATATATATATATATATAATATATATATGTGAGATTGTGAAGGGTGGAATTAAATGTAGAAAGGTGAACACAAGAGTTATGAACAGCGTGACAAAGGGGAGAGAATGAATCTAATGTAATAGAATGATAAAATAAATGATAAAAATAATTCGAATTAAAAGTTAATTTATCCATGGAGAGGATTACAAGGATGCCTGAAATCTAGATCTTTTGATAAAGGGGAGAGTTATGAGTTTTGAAATACCTCAAGTGACTTATCACTTTTGAGACATGTGTGTTGACTTTTGCTTGATCTTCTTTTTTTTTCTTTTCTGAATTTTTTTCTCTACAAAAAATAGGTATGGAGAGAAACACAATAACGATACTAACTTTGCCTAGTTTCCTCGTCAATGGCACCAAAATTTTATATGCCCAAAGTCGTTGTTAATTTAAGTACTCAAACTTAATATTTATAATTGAAAATCTAAATAAACTCTCTTTAACTATAAGGATTTTTGGTTGATCCTTAAGGAAATTAGAAAGTTGAAAGCATTATTTTAATATAGAAAGTGTGAAAAAAATAAGAATTAGATAGTAGTTCTTTTGTAAATTATGAATGTCAAAGATATCTAACTCTAAAAATAAGGAAAATCTCAGAAAATGTAGATGACTAACTCTAATTTAATATCCCTAAAAACTATCTCATATTCAATGTGTCATTCATTGAACAACAAGATTACTAGAGGTCGAAAATCAAAAATCAAGAACATAAAAAAATAGAAAAAATAGTTATTGTAAAATCTAGAAACTTAAACTAAACTTATTCAAAAATCATGAAAAAAATTAAAGAAGATAATAAACTAACTTGCTACGTCTTCCCAAAAGATATTAACCTAATTCTATGTGGCACTCGTGAAATCAAATTCGTTCTAAGAAAGGTTAAAATATAGAAAATATAGAAAGTATAGAAAATATAGGAAACATTTTTTGTAAAATCTAAAAAACTATTTTAAACACTTTTTAAAATCACGAAAAAATTGTATAAGATAAGAAACTAAGTACTCTATGTTTTCTCAAAAGATATTAACCTAATTTTATGTGGCACTCATGAAATCAGATTTGATCTAAGAAAAGGTCAAACCAAGAAACCTAGAAAATGATTTTTGGTGATGTGCATGATGATTCTATCACCAAATCACCAAAACACGATTTTTGGACAAGAGAAAATATTCATTTGATTCGTAAGTAATTAAGGTATTCAGAAAAAATCATAAATCTAAAAGAAAAGATATATATCTCATTTTCTTGCCCAAAAAATGATTTTTGACGATATGCTTAATGATTATGTCACCAAATCACCAAAATATAATCTTTTGAAGAGATAAAACATTCATTGGATTCATATAAAAGTAAGATATTTAAGAAAAATCATTAACCTTAAAGAAACTACACGAATTGATATAAATCTACCTATCTTTGCCTTGGTGTCACCGTCAAGTATGAGAAATCAGAGATAGAGAAGAATAACTCACTAAAAACTTAATGAAATGTCATATATTAACTGATATTCATCATCTAAAAAATGAGACGGAGTCTAAGGAGCTAAGAAAAGAGAGAAAAAGGCAGAGAGATCATGCTTACAATCTTGAGACCTCAACTCTATCACTTTGCCACCACCTCCTATTTGAGCGTGAAAAAGTCTACTTTCATTTGCCTTCTCCAAGGTTTATATACTCACCCCTTTTTAGGCCTTCTTTTTCTATCTTTTATATGGCTTGATGAAGCTTAATATTTTGAGTATTGTGTTTAATTTTTTTATGCCTCAATTTACCCTTTCTCATATTTGGGGTTTTTGAGCTTTAACATTCCATGCTAATTCTTCTCACTTTGGTAAATGTATAGAAATTAATCTCATTGCAATAAAATTCTGAAATTTTAAACCCCTAAAAGATGAGATACATTCTTAAGGTGATAAACCTTGGAAAAAGGTTAGAAAATATGAATAATTAAATCTATAACTGTATGATGTAGATATAGCTAAGTTTAGAGTAATTTATATACATCTTTTGACCTTTGCTCTAATATGATGAGATAGTGATTCATGCTTATTATGATTCATTAATACAAAAATTAAAGAGATAGTTAAATAATTCTTAATGACAAATAAATATTTATCAATATATTCACTAGCGACGGTGTAAATCATTTTTAATTCGGGCCGATATCCCGTTAGATTCATCCCCAACTTCGCGGTGAACATTTTAGTATTACTGCTAAGCCTTCTCTTGGACCCGCTATGGTCAACAATGGAGTCGGACACGGCAGGGTTCCGCATCTCGTGGCTGTCCTGGTTGGCGCTGATGTGAGGGAGTGGAAGGAACGGAAGCTGTGCATGCCAATCTGCGGCCGATATCCTGTCAGGTCTGTCTGAGAACTTGGAACCAAGATTTTCGTTTCCCTGAAAGGCCTGCGCTTCGACGCCGAGTTGCCAACTATTGAGGCGAATACGGAGTTGTGAGTGGGCGGTCTCGGTCTCGTCATGCCGGCCTTCGGCTGGTATCCTATCAGTGCTGCCTCCAGCTCCAGGGTCGACGCAGGGTCGTCGTCAACTCTTGGGGCGAGTTGGGCTTGCTGTGTATTGTTGGTGGTTTGGTTAGCTCTGGAGCGAAGTGGTGTGAGGGGCGGAGGCTGCAGGTAGGTTGGTAGGGGCGCCTCCAGCTCCTGCATCAACGCCGGGTAGTCGAATATAGGATCGACTTCGACCTTAAAAGGAGCGGGAGCGGCGGGGTTCCTGGCAGGGCCGCCTCCATCTCCTTCTTCAACGCCTGGCCGTCAAAAACGGGGAGCGGGCTCGGCCTGGGTTGCGTGGACGGTCTGGTTAGTGCTGCCGGTGGGGATGTGGATGGAACAGGAGCTGCGCCATGCTGACCATTGGCGGGTCTCCTGTCAGGACTGCGTCCAGCTCCTATACCAAGGCCAGGTTATCAATATGGTATCCTAGCAGGGCCGCCTCAGTCTCCGGCTTCAATGTCTTGTGGTCGAATATGGGTGCGAGTTCACCCTTGATTTCGTGGGCAGTCTGGTTGGCGCTGTGGTGGGTTGTGGGTGGAGCGGTTAGAGGCGCAATGCCGACCTTTGGGCGGTCCCCCATCAGGGCTGCCTCCAGCTCCAGCACCAAGGCAAGGTTGTCAAATATGGGGAGGAGACGATGAAAATGACTAGACTAGTCTAAAGAAGGTTTCCAGCAATACCTGAAATAAAGGATCAAATGCGATTAAGAAATCACTAATGATTAGGATGTGCTGCACAGTCAATAAGTCAATCGGATGCAAACTAAGTTAGCACTCGTCACACTAGCCACCAGATATGAAGATAAGTGAACCTATAAATGAACAAAATGCTCAAATTTAAAACGAAGAGTATTCAGAGATAACCTTGTGACCAGAAAAGGTAACTGCGTAGTGGAAGATAACGAGTTGAAGCTCAAACGCACTTTTGAAAGTTGACCTTTATGTTGACCCGCCGACCAGTCGCTAAATGTTGACCGGGTCGTTGAATGAGTTGATTGCGTAGACTGGCTCGAACCAGTGGAGCGGCTGGCACGGACCAGGTGGTCCGGCTGAAACCTGACCTGCGGGAGGCGCTGGTTTGAACCTGAGGCCCGAGATGGTTCGGACTGGGACACAGCTGGGCTCGGACCAGGTTGTCAAGCCAGTTGGGCTCAGGCGGAGCCGGTCCGGTTCAAGCTTGCGGGTCGCGGTATCACGAACCGGTGGCCTTTAAACCTAACCGGTGGGCGAAAAAGCGAGGAAAGAAACACGCATTAGTCGTGCAGGGCGGAGGAATGGAAGGCGGCGGGGGAATAGGGGGAACGGATGCGGCCGGAGGATGGCAGCGGGCGGCGGAGGTGAAGATAGGGAAGGTGTCAGCGGTCGCGGATGGTGACGGCGGACGGCGGTGGAAGGAACGGAGCGAAAGCTGGCAGCGGTTGGAGGTGGCAAGGTATGGCGGTGGTGGCGGTGGTGGCGATGGATAAGTGACCCTCACGGCCTCTCCTTGCGGAGCGAATGACCCTCACGGCCTCTCACGGCCTCTCCTTGCGGAGCGAATGACCCTCACGGCCTCTCACGGCCTCTCCTTGCGGAGCGAATGACCCTCACGGCCTCTCACGGCCTCTCCTTCCGGAGCAATGACCCTCACGGCCTCTCCTTGCGGAGCGAAAGAGGTAAACCTCGAACTAATCTCTTTTCTCTCCAATTGTTCTTAGGGCTACACGAGGTTACTTATAACCTCTCAAGAAGGAATGAGCATTAATGGGCTTCCCAGGTGCGCTATTGACGCGGTCGTAGGCTCCGTCTTTGTCGCTTCTCATCAAGTTCAGCCTGCGTCTCGTGGGCAGGCTGGTTGTCGCTCGAGCCGTGACATGAAAAAAGCGAGGCCGGCGAGTATCCTGCCAGGGCCGCCTCCAGCTCCTGCATCAACGCCGGGTTGTCGAATATGGGGTCCTGCCTCTCTTGGTCAGTCTGGTTGGCGCTCGAGCCGGCCCTTGAAAAGAACGGGAGCTGCGCCATTCCCACATCAACCTCCTGCCTCAACGCTGGGTTGTCAAATATCGGGCTGAATTCGGCCTGCGTGTCGGAGGCAGTTTGCTGAGTTCTAGAGCGGGGCTGTGGTAGGAGGGGGAGCGGCGCCATACCAACCTGCTCCCTGTATCCTGTCAGGGTTGGATACAGCTTCTGCATAAACACCGGGTTGTCGGCTGTTGTGGCGAATTGGGGCCGAGCCTTCTGGGCAGTCTGGTTGGCGCTGAAGTCGGGCCTTGAAAAGAGTGTTAGCGGCGGATATCCTTGCAGGGGGCACCTTCGTCTCCCGCTTCAACTCCTGGCCGTCGAATATGAGAGCGAGATTGGCCTGGGTCTCGTGTGCAGTATGGTTGGTGCTGTGGTGGGCCTGTCGGTGGAGCGGGAGCGGCCCCATGCCGACCTTTGACAAGCCTCCGGTTAGAACTGTCTCCAGCTCCTGCATCAAGACTGGGTTGTCGAATATGGGATCGAGTTCTGCCTGCGTCTCTAGGTCAGTCTGGTTGGCACTCGAGCCGGCCCTTGAAAAGAACGGGAGTGGCGCCATTCCCACATCAACCTCCTGTCTCAACGCTGGGTTGTCAAATATCGGGCTGAATTCGGCCTGCGTATCGGAGGCAGTTTGTTGAGTTCTAGAGCGGGGCTGTGGTAGGAGGAGTAGCGCCGTACCAGCCTGCGCCCGGTATCCTGTCAGGGTCGGATAGAGCTTCTGGGCAGCCTGGTTGGCGCTGAAGCTGGGCCTTGAAAAGAGCGGTAGCGGCGGATATCCTGGTAGGGGCACCTTCATCTCCCGCTTCAACACCTGGTCGTCGAATATGAGAGCGAGCTCGGTCTGGGTCTCGTGTGCAGTATGGTTGGTGCTGTGGTGGGCCTGTCGGTCGTGCGGGAGCGGCGCCATACCGACCTTTGACGAGTCTCCGGTCAGGACTGCATCCAGCTCCTGCATCAAGACTGGGTTGTCAAATATGGGATCGAGTTCTGCCTGCGTCTCGCGGGCTGTCCGGTTGGCACTTGATCCGGCCCTTGAAAAGAACGGGAGTGGCGTCATTCCCACATCAACCTCCTGCCTCAACGCTGGGTTGTCAAACATTGGGCTGAATTCAGCCTGCGTGTCGTAGGCAGTTTGTTGAGTTCTAGAGCGGGCCTGTGGTAGGAGGGGGAGTGACGCCATGCCAACCTGCGTCTGGTATCCTGTCAGGGTCGGACGCAGCTTCTGCATAAACATCGGGTTATCGACTATTGTGGGAAATTGGGCCCGGGCCTTCTGGGCAATCTGGGTGGCACTGAAGCCGGGCGGCGAGCTGAGGAGGACGATCCGGGAGCTTTCGAAGAGACCGTAGTACTCGATCCTGCGGTCGTCCTCCATGCACTCGCCCTGGAAGACGAGGGTCTGATGGGAAACGGGGAAGCCGTAGCACTCGTGGATCTTCTTCTTCATCTCCAGTACTGTCGCGAAGAATGAAACTTCAATCTTGAAGCTCCTTCCGTCCTGCGTCTGGAATATCACATCCATGATCTGCTCTTCCTCTGCTATCCTGCAAGAACCCAAATACTCCCGCCTCGTCCCCGTCCTGCTAACCGTTCATCCCTCCATCCAACCCTAACAAGCACAATTCAAAGCTATTCTGATGATCCCGGGTTTTTCGGAATTCTCTCAAAACTATTGGTATCACTTACGCGTCATCAAAGAAGTGACGCAAATCAAGATCGCACCGTTATTCTGTTGCAGCCAAGAAAGCTCCTGTTGAGCCTCTTCTAAACTACCCCATTCAGCGAAACAGGAAGTTTAAACTCAGGCATTAAATAGAGAGATACACACACACACGCACACACACACATACTGGGTAACAACAACTCGTAAGTATCAAGAAGATCTCTCGATCTATCTTCTGTTCATGAAATGCCGCTCAAATGGGTCTGGTAAGCTGACGACCTTCTCAGGAGAGAAGCCTCGACAGCCTCTCATCTCCTGTCGCTGGAATGCGCCCAAGATCACCAACGCCGGCGGTGTCTCTGTCGATGCCCAAAAAAAGAGAGATCATCTCCCGGAGGCGCTATGGTGGCTCCAGATCAACTGCGGGTCCAAGAGAAGGCCATGCCGGGTGTGCTGTCACAGGGTCCTCCATGGGCTTCCATCGAAGAAGAGGTCAGCTACTGCACCACCCGGCAGCCACAGTACTGAGTATATATGACCAGGCCCCTCTAATAGACGGTTATGATTAATAATCAACTCTCTTGGTAGATGATCCAAATTTTTCCATGAAGACGGCGCTCTAATACTTCTCTTAATCTCATCTTAAGATGTCATAAGATGGGCAACTTATATCTCATCTCTTAATAGTTTTTCTAGGTCTAAATAGGCTAAGCCAAAGTGACGCCCTCTCTTGGGTCCATAAACATATTAGGCCAGCCCTTTCCATAAAACTTGAGCTTTTTTTTGGGCTGAAAACTTAGGCTTCTTCTATTACTTCCAACTCATAATAAGAGTTCACCTAAGTCCTTGTAATCAAATAATTATCAAAAAAATATAAGAGAATCATCACTTGACTTCATAAAAGTTAAGATTAGTCTCATAATATAAATAAAATAATTATTAGAACTTAAATGATAAAATATTATGAATGTCATAGTGAGTCGATAACACATGTATATTTACAGGCAGTAACATTATAAACTTGGAAAAAAATAGTAATATAATTTCTTTCAATCCACAATTTTTTTTTCTTTACTCATAAATTGAAGCAACCCTTTTAAATTTAATAGGCATCATTATGATCCTTGTGAATTCAAAGTTTTCTAATTTTCCTTGTAAACTCAAAGATTAAGAATCTTATTCTTGATAGATTTAAGCCTCAATTTATATTATTCCATAACTTCTACGACATCAAGTGCTTTTGGACCAAAGTTCCAAGTAGAAGATTTGTTAACGTGAACATATTGCATGGATGTGAGAGACTTGACAATGCTGTTATTTTTCAAGAAGCCTCTTTATCTAGAGTAGAGTTTTCTGCTTTCAATATAATGTACGTTATATATTCTTCAATCTACATAGTCATCAATTTAACAATGGTTTTTTCTGTGGGGTGTTAAGAACTATATCTTCCACTAGAATTTAATGTTTTTTTAAAAAATAATTTTTACCAATTCTATAATCAGATCATTGACATTGAATCTTTTCTCTTGACCCATTCTAAAGTGAACTTTCCAATTCTTAAAATATTTGAACACATCTGGTCTATTTTACCAAAAAAGGGCATCCAAGTTGAGTTGTGTTATCAATGAAGTTGATGTGATACCTTGAACCTTCAAGGGATAAAATTCATCAAAGTGTCTTTTGAGTTTTGGAAGCCTTCTAATTTTGATCTTGATAAAATATAAAAGATAATTTAGATAAATAAATTTATGTTATTTCAATCTCTTGCTAAAGTTCAACGAGACTTAACAACCCTTTGTTAGTTCTCAAGTGTCTTTTATTTTAAAGAATGGAGTTGTGTCATGAGTTTCACACATTTTGACTAGGGAATACATTAGGTATAATGAAAATATTAGGATGCTTGAATGTCTAAGGAAGCTTGTGGTGAGGTTGCTATTGCAATAGAACTTTGATGAGTGATTTCAGAATTAGTAGGTTAATTTGATCTGTCCTTGAGTTGTTGCTTAAAGCCTCTTATAATGTGTTATTCATAGATCCCAATAACTTCACCATTGGCATTAAAATATCTTTATTTTATCAGTAAATCATTGTTTATGTCAACACCTAAAGTTGAATTTCTGAACAATGTGCACAAATAAGTCATCAACTAGATTAACTTCTGGCTATGGTGCTATATATATGTGTCAATAAAATATTTTATAACTTCTCTTTGATCTTCTAATATGTTTTGATACAACACCTAAATAAAGGAACATGTGATGAAGGTTAGGGAAAATTGAGAGCTTTTGGGACATTAAGGTAGGCTACAGGTTAAACCACTGAAAAACTTATGTACATCTTGCTTGTGTTTTTTATATCTATTTCTAACTACTATAATACTTTCATGCACCACATCAAGTTAGAAAAATGAGCTAATTGACTCAATTAAATATTTTATTCTTATTATATATCTACTATTTTTGATTAATTATGTCTGTCCTATGTAAAATAAATTTTTTAAATAGATCACTAAAAAAAAAATCCACTAAATTAAAATTTAATCCCAAAGAATAAATTCGACAAATAGCAGATTATTCATCCTTGTGTCCTTCAATAATAACTTTGAAAAACTAGCATTAGAGGGCTTGATTTGCACACTTCCCTTGCCTACATATCTATGGCCTCATCATCCACAAGGAACACATAGCCGAATTTTCCAATGATAGTTTCTCATTCACTTTATAAAATCATGTTAGAAGTACACCATCCAAGACCCATGACTACATCGAATTTCTATGCTGAAAAACCACGTTAACTTCATTGTAATATAGTTTGAAGAATCAACATCAGTGCTCTAATTCTCTTTCTTTTTCTTGAAATATTTCTTAATATGTTCCTCTTTTCACATTGTCAACATGCATTACCCAATAATTGGACTTTTAACTAGACATTGCCATAATACCAATTCCTTAGATTCGGTCTTAGGATTGAATGCTTATGGCTAAACCACACTTCCTCAACTATATCGTGCAAAGATCAATGAAAAGAATTAAACTCAATAATGGATAAAAGATTCTAAAGCATGAGTTGATGGACCAATCATGTGGTTTACTAAAATAACCAATCTATTTCACTGCAATTATTCTACATTTTTAACTATTGTAACATATGCAGTGGAAATTAAAGAAATACAATAACATAGGAACACAAAGCCAATATATAAACAGTTATAATGGTTAGTCTAATAAAGGTGATTCAATTAAATTTTTAAACCATTTTTAATGCTAAATATAAATAGGTATCATTGGCAAGATAAACTATTAAACATAGAACAATTACATATGCATTTAGAGCGGTTCTCCTATCTCTGCAGAACTTAAACCTATTATTAAACTATAATCAATTTTTTGTTGCCATATTATGCCACTCATGGCCTTAATTATCTTATTGATTGAAAAAAATCACTCTAGCATTGGTTTTATTATTCTAGTTCACCAAATAGACTCTCAAAATGCTATTACTCATCCATTGGCATGACTAGCTATAGCCCACTAGGCAGCACAAAATGTTATTCAACTTTTAGTAAAAATACATTACATGATTCAATTCATAACACCAATTGATCCAAACTCAAGTGGACTTGAGGCCTTAAAAGCATGAAGATGCACATGGATCTATTTTTTGCTCATTTTTGCCCAATAATAAATTGGGCATATAATAAAACATATTTTAAGTGAGTCCAAATTTGGTTTTTCTATTTTCATTTTCATTTTTCTGTTTGAGTCATTTTGAATTTATTTCAATGGGGAAAACTTAAATAGTTAATACCCAATAATAGCATGCTCTATTTTTAGGAGCTTGCTAATTTATTTCAGCCCATTTTAAGGCCCTATTGTAGCCCTAGAGGACTCAATCAATTCTACAATTTTTTTTCTCTTTTGAGGATCTCTTTCTCTGCTGGTTGACTCCAACATCCCTGAAGAAAATATTTTTTTCATCTTGTGGACTCATGATTAAATCTTTGTGGATTCTATGAATGAAGTTTCTTCATCTTGTAGATTCAAAGACATGATTTCAACTCCACATAACTAAGCTATCTCACAATTCCTTCAAATCTTTGTTGCATTAACTTTTTCTATATCAAGTGATACTTGAGCCAAGATGAATGTTTCATATTCATATATGAAGATGTCACGAGGAAAAGGATTACTTATCAATGAAATAAATCTCCTAAGGTATGCCCTATTTCACAGAGATGATTTGCTGATTTCAAGAATGCATTGAACAAAAGTTTGAAGTTATGAATGGTACATTGAAAAAAATTATAGGACAGATTTCTATATTGGAATTCCAATCTGGTTGAAAAAATGCTAAAAGAAAAATGATTTTGGTCTTTAATCCATGAAACATTTTTCAAATAACACAATAAGTTAACAAGTAGATCTGATATTGATGATAGAAGGTATTTCATTATTCAAATTAATCTGCTTAGTTTTAATGACCATCTAAACACTGAAGATTTTCTAGATTAGACCACTATAGTTGAGATATTTTTTGAATGTTTCAACATATCTGATGATAAATAAACTAAATTACTTATGAACTAAAATGTTCTTTTTGTATGGTGGGATCAACTTCAATCCACTCGTACAAGATGAGGTAAAGATCAAGTGTGTAGTTGGGATAAAATGAAGAAATGACTGAAATTTAGATTTCTTCCTCTATATTACAAACATGCTTTATATTAACAATATCAAAATTCTCGGTATTGAAGTGGATTTATGGCAGAATATTCCTTCAGTTTTATACATTATCTTGTAGAGTTGATATGAATAAATTGAAATCTTATGTGATATAAAAATTCAATAGTGTGCTTAGAT